TCGCACCGACTCCACTCCCGCCGTGCTCCGCGCGAGGTGGATGGGGAGGCGTGGCTGCCTACGGGAGCGAAGCGTGAGGGCACGCCGCTCGCCGGCGTCCAATGGGAGGGCGTCCTTCCCCAGGTCCGCGGGGTCGGCTGGGGATTATGGTTTAGACCCTGGCTAACCTTCCGGCCCTCTTTTTGGAGTTGAGAGAGGCGCGCAGTCTCCGGTTGACTTGGCCTCCACGGGGTTTGTTCTCTGCCCGAGGGGCGCAGGCAAGGCCCTGGTCGGCCTAGTTGGGGGCCGCAGTATTTTCCGTCGTTGTGAAGGCAGTGGAAGGGAGACTTCTTCTGTCGAAGCTTTCTGGGAAGGTGGCTGGTGGCCCACACAAGCGCCTGACTCCTGACCCCCTGAGTCCAGGAGCTTAACCCTTTTGGCCCAAGACCCGAGGATAGGTGCAAGAGAAGCACTTGAATTAGAGTCTGTCCCCTTTTCTTCTAATGGATTTCCAAATTAAGCATCCCCAGCTTAAGAATATCAGGCAAATACCATCTGTTAAAGGTTCAGTAGTCCTACTTAATGAAGGAAAGTTCACCCAGCTTCCCCAGAGCCTTGCTAGATCTCAGGCAATAAATCTGGTCAAGAGTGACTTGTGCAAGGTGTCAGAACTGGAAAGTTCTCTATTAATCTCCCAATCTAGCGAGAAAGCTTTCAGTTTGCAGCTCATTTCCAGAATCTCCTTCCAGCTAATATTCAAATAGCGAGCTCCAAGCTTCCAGGTGGGTTGTCTACACTGTTGATATGCTTTCTGGTTACCGGCACCTGATGTCTCTTCAGTGGCTCCTTAGGAAAGGTAACCTGATTTTATAGCCTAAGTTCAACATCATGGGTTCAAAGAAATTCACTGCAAGAAAAACCTATAAAGCATTCTAAAATAAAGCAATCCTTATCTGTAGTGAAAGGAGGTTGTTGGGTTAAGGAGACTTGAAAATTACCTTCCCACTTTCCAGCCATCTTGTCTGGAAGTCATTCCTTCATTCAAGGACTGTATGAAGGGCCTGTGCGGGCCAGGCCACTGTATCAGGTGCTGGTGATCCAGGAACAAACAAGGTTGATAAAATTTGCTGCCCAAATGGAGATAGGTGTGGGGTTATTATTGGAGATGGACAACAAGATATACACTCTGTGAAATGAGTTTGATTTCTGTAAAATGGGATATGGAAAGCTATTGGAAGGCTCTAAATAGAAAAATATGACTTGGCATCCATGTTTATATGATCCCTCTGGCTGCTATGTGGAAATAGGCCAAAGGTAGGAAGGGCAGAAGTAGTGCAGCTGGTTACAGTGTTGCAATAATACAGGCACAGAAGGATGGTACTTGTACCTGTGTGGCCACAGTGGAAACAGGAGACATGAACTGGGATGAGGGCAGAGAGGGAAGAATGTGGGAGAGGCAGTTTTGGTAGGAAGAGCAGGAGCTCAGTTTGTGGTAGGTTGAATTTTTGATGCCTCATATTCAAGTGGAATGTGGAATTGGCAGTTGGATACATCCCATCTGGAATTCAGGGTCAAAGGTCAGGGTTAGAGATACAAATCTCGGAGGTATCAGCATATTGCTGGTATTGGTATCTGAAGCCATAGGCTTGGATGAAATAACCAAGGGAATGAGGGAATGACTGTAGACAGGAGAACAGTGTTCCAGCCGTGAGTCCTGGGGCACACCAGCACCGAGGTTAGGAACTGCTACACAGAACTGTGGGTACTATGACTTTGCCTCCCAAACTGGACCGTTGTTGGTGGGTCTCTCCTTTATCAGATAATATTTTATTCTTTGAAGAAGTAAACCATATTAAGGCTAATTATTCTTGCCTTACATCCGATCTCATTCAGTAATAATAATTGCCCCTCTTTATCAAACTATAGGGCTGGTATTGTGCTGGCACTTCATTATCCCACTTAGTTTTCACAACAACCAGATAGGGAAACTGCTTTTATAGTTAAGGAAACCAAAGACCAGATAAAGTAAACACAGTAATTTCCACAGCTGGAAAGTAGGGGGTGGGGTGATTCCAACCCAGATCTGTCCTCAAGGTTTATGCTCTCAACTATTTTCCTCTTTTCCTTAAGGTGATTATTGAGGTCTTTCAGAGGAAGCATCTGGAATTTTCTTTTTTTTTTTTTTTTTAAGTTACAAAGGCCCTTTGTACTTGTAAGAATTTTTTTGTTTTGTTTTTTGGTTTATTTTTATTTATTTTTTACCGCCTTAGAACAGGAAGTATGATCTATTTAGAAGAACTGATCTGAACAGCATCCTCACCAGGAATGGGCAGTACAAGGTCTAGTCAGGGAGGTGCGCCCACTTTCAGCCCCTAAATGCTCACAGGAGAGGACTCAGCAAAGAAAAGACCATGTCCTGTCTGTTGTTCCTTGTTGCCTTGGTCTTATTTGGGTCCATGGCTCCTAAGCATGGAAAGTAGGATTTGATCAAATGTTAAAATGAGAGACAGGAACCAGGAGAGATACAGATGATAGAAGACCACAGATGAAATTTTCCAGCAGAACAAAAAAACCCAGCTGCCTTATCAGGAGCTGCAAAGTAATAAAGGCATGAAGAGAAACTTCAGACTTTCCAAGGAGGGACTGAATGTCATTATTAGCTCAGAGTATTTCACATTAAGTATCTTGTATTTGCAGGAAGGGGAAAGTACTGAAGGAGCTAGAAGGGTAGTTAAAGGGTTTTCCCCCATAGCAAAAGGGCAGGGAACAGATCCCAGGCTCAGGGCATAATCAGGGGTTTTCACTTTTGCAGCACATCAGGTTCTGAAATGTCCTCTAAAGCTATGAAAGAAAAGAGATCTGGGAAAGAACAAGAGGTCTTATTTTACCATTTACTAGTCCCCACTAGTCCTTGCTGCTACCATTATGGAGAGGACATGCTTAGTCCACGAAAATCACACACCCAGACAAAACAGAAAGCTGAGATTTAAAGGAATCCCCGACCTAGAGGGTGACAGCAAGGTGCACTGTAGTGTGTGGTTTATGGCAACACCCAAGGTTTGAAGCATTGACCTGCAGAGCAGCAGAATCATCATGGGACTGGCATTTATTATTCCAAAAGACTAAGATTTATTTCTTGGTAATTCTATCAGCAAAAAGTGACATATAGGAAAGGATTGTCCCAATATTCAAATATAAGTCAATAAGTGGATTAAAGAGAGTTTGGAATAATAACCTTAATATGTTTTACTAAGTAGCCACAATGGTTTCCTCTGTGAGTGTCCTAGGCACAAGTCTTAGCCAGAAGCACATGGATATAGTCACTTGCTTGGCTAAGTAGATGCATTACAATGGACCCCTGAACAGCCTAGGGGTTGGAACACCAACCCCACCCCATCCCCACCTGTGGAGTTGAAAATCCACGTAAAACTTTGGACTCCCCCAAAACTTAACTGCTCAATGGTGAGAACCACAAGAGGTCGCTTTTTACTGTGATATGCAATTTAGCAGAGAGACGAACTGCTCACAAGGAGATGATTAGCATTGCATGGGGTTTTAAGTGGATACTAGAAACACAAGCTCACCACAAAAGCAACAGGTGGCTAATTATCACAGTAGCACAGTATGTTCTATAGTAAATTGTACGCAGTTATAATTTAATACTACATCTTTATTCTTGTTTACATTTCTCTCTGCAAATGGTACCATGTACATACAGTCTATACTGTATGGAGTATACATACAGCATGGGAGGAAGTTAATAAATTTTAACTTTTATATTTTGTGTATATTTTTTGTGGTAGTAAATGGTAAGATGGACTAGTATGTGTATATATTTTATGCATTCATGACATACCTTTTTCTTAACTTTTTAATATTTCTAGGCCACATGGTTCATCTGCAAGGTTTTTCAAATTGTCACAAATCCCCTCCTCCAAATTTTCCAATATACTTATTGAAAAAAGTCTACATATAAGTGAATTTGCTGTAACAAAACACCTGTTGTTCAAGGGTCAGCTGTACTTCCAAATGACAGTGGTGCTGTCTGGTGGAGCTGATGTGCTTGAAAACAAGAGTGAGACTCTAGAAAAAACTCTGAGGTCAACCTAAACACTGTTGAGGAGACTGGTTAGGTATGTTAGGAAACTTTTAAGTTTGTCTTCAATAAAGATCAATTCTATGGAGTGCAATTTTTAGTTAATGGAATATAGCCAGGATACTTCTGTACCAATGTGAGAATATGACATCTTCTTGGCTTTAACTCTCTCTCTTTTTTTTAAATTAAATTACATTAAAAAAAATTTTTTTTCTGAGAGAGAGAGAGAGAGCGTGAGCAGGGGAGGGTCAGAGAAAGAGGGAGACATATAATCCGAAGCAGGCTCCAGGCTCCAAGCTAGCTGTCAGCACAGAGCCTGGAGCCTATTTCAGAGTTTGTGTCTCCCTCTCTCTCTGACCCTCCCCTGCTCACGCTGTCTCTCTCTCTCTCCTAGAAATAAATAAAAATATTTTAAAATAAAATAAAATAATAAAAAAGTAAAATTTCCCCAGATCATTCTATGTGCAAAGCTGAGAGCTGTTTTAGAGCCTCATACTGATAACATTAAAATGTAGCTAAAAAGACGTCTTCAGCAGCAATTGGTGTGCCTACATCCTTTACAACCAGTGTAGCTGGACCCACTAATTGCATTTAGCCAGCTCCCAAACTTGCACTGCCTTTCCACAATCAACAGAGGAAACAATCCCAACGTCTCTTCCTCTGCCTTGAAATAAACCTCTAGATGGCCCGGGCGGACGGGGCAGGGAGTCTTAGGCTTGCGATCCACCCTGGACTTTGGGTTCCGAGGAGGCATTTGAGCCAGGCCCCACGCAGGAGAAGGAGGTTCCAAATGAGACAAATCCTGCTCCGGGTGACGCCCCGCCCTCAACTTTGCGAGGATACTGTGCCCAACCCCGCCTCTGAGTGCCGCAGGCAGCGGTGAGCGCCGACTACATTTCCCACAATGCACCCCGGGACGGGCAGGGCCGGGACGAGCGGCTGGAGCTGGGCCTCCGCCACGAGAGGCCAGCGAGGGCTGTCTTCCTGGGCCGGCGTCTGGGTGAAGGGCGGTGGGAGGCGACGGTGGCCTGCGCTGTGGCCATGTCTGCGTCCGCAGGGGTCCGAGAGTCTGACCTGCGTCCTCCGGCCGACCTCGGCCGGACACCTGCGCCCTCCTGGGGGTCCGGCAGAGAGCAGTGACCGGCAATCTCTGTGCGTCCTGGGCCCCTCCGGAGAAACAGGTGAGTACGACTGCCAACCCACGTGGCCTGGGGGTACCGAGAGACTGGAGAGCTGTCATCCTTGGAGCCAGGGGCGTGAAGACTGGGAGCCCCTGACACCTATGCTCCACTTGAGACAGGAGGACTTAGTCTCTTTGGGGTGCCTTAGCCGGTTGTCCTCCAGCCAGAGAATATAAAAGGTGAGGACCAGAACCCTTCCTTTGGCTGGCAGAGCAAAGTCCTGTAGGAGGCAGTGGGCTGGTAGGACCCGCCCACCAAGGCATACACATTTCTCCCCACCCCACCCCCAGCAGAATCCTCTCAAAAATCTGCAGAGGTGACTGTGAGGTGAGCGGACAACTCCTGGAAGTGTCCTGGGGCTTTGGACTTTGCTCTCAAGGGTGCCCTGACTCAGATAACCAGTCTGCCCCTTGTACTGGGAAAGCAACCCTTTCTGGGTTCCAGTTTGCTGGGGGAGGGTGAGCAGCCTTTGTCAGAGAGGGGAGTGGCCACCAAGTGTGACAAGTACCAGGCCACGCTCACGGAGTAGGCATCCTGCTGAACCAGCTACAGCAGAGCTTCACCAGGGCCCTGTGTGCCACAGACCCATGCATTCTGGCACCACCCTCTCAGATAGCCCACTCCCAAAAGAGTCAGGGCAGGATGGAGCGCTATCCAAGCAGGAAGAGGGAGCAAGAGTGGTAAGAGCCAGTAGGGAGGGGCTCTTGAAGGTTCTCCCTGCTACAGGGTGGGCGCTGGAGGGAGGGAAGCACACAAGAAGGGTTGATTGAGCCAACCTGTTTGGTGACATTGCTTGTAGGCACAGCAGAACACTTCTAGAGAAAGTAGCATGCCCTAGGGGCTTCTAGAGAGGCTGTCTGAGAAGGAACCCCGAGAGCACATATGGAACTGGTTCCAGGAGACCTCTCTCGCTTAACTGCTTCAGGCCCAGTCTCCCAGGAGTTTTAGTCATGCACGTTATGGGATTTACTGTGAGTCACTCAGCCTCCCTGCCTAGTTTCCAGACTAAGTGTCCAGAGAACTGTTAGCTTCATCAGGACTTTTGGCTGGATCCCCAGATTGGCCTTGGAGATGCTGAGCTGCTACATGATCTCAGGTAGCAGGGGAACTATTGTGAAGGAAGCATCCACTAGCCCCAGCCAGCTGATCCTGCCCTCGTTTCATGTAGTTACCATGCTGGGTACCACGCAGCCATGCTGGGTTCAGTCACCTGAAGTCCACAAGGGATCAGTGGGTAGTAGGCCCCCAGGATGTTGGGTAAGTGCCATAGACCTTTTTTGGGTCTTTGAGCCAGAGGTACAAGGCCACAGAGCAGGAGCATGTGGCTGACCAAGGATTCAACTCGGGAGAGACTTCCAGGAGCAGCAGACAACCAATGGTCTGTACCTGCAATGTCAGGCCCAATGAATAGCCAGTAAGCCTGGAGGAACCCCCAGCCCGAGGCCCACAGACATGTCTTTGGCTGGACATCACAGGGGTCACTTCAGGCCAGAAGCTACCCAGGTACCTTCATGAGGTCAGAATCCAGTTTTCCCAGGCCAGGTCACTCAGGGCCTGGCTCAGGGTAGGCCAACTCTCAAAGGACTGATTTACATGGCAGAGACCACTTTTTGTGTATAAGTGCAGCTACATATGGTCTGAATGCTAAGTAAAAATAATCATGATATGTTAATGGCAGTAGCCATTAAGTGTACTAGTGCCTACTGTGTGCCAGGGTAAACAAATTACATGGATTATCTCTTAATCCTCCCACAATCCCATGAATCGGTACTATCATTACCCTCATTTTATAGATGAGAAAACTAAGACTTATGAAACCAAACAAGGTCCATCCAGGTCCCTCTGATTCCAGGACCATTGTTCTTGAGCACTTGACTACTACCAAAAACAAGTCTTCTCCACAGGCAGGGGTCTCCAGAGGCTGCATTATAACTGGATATTCTTTGAGAATCTTTCACCTTTTCCCTTCCAAAGTTATTTATCTGGAAAATGTTGATTAAACTCCACCTGCGTGTGGAGCTTACATATTGAAATTTGTGACTGACCTTCAGTGTAGAAAAATGAAGCAGGGCAAGAGAGGTAAGAATCAGGGATATTGCAGGAAGGCCTCTCTGATAACACTTGAGCAGCAACCTGAAGGAAGTGAGAGAGTGGGTCATGTCAATATCTAGCCCCAGCGGTGGAATAGGTGAATGAGGGGCAAAGGGAAAAGCAGAAGATGTGGTCCAGACAGAAAGCTCAGCAAGGACAAAATTCTGAAATGAATGAGTGCTCAGGATTTACATTTACATTATCCTAGAGGAAAGCCATGAGGTCAGTGTGGCTGGGCTGAGGTGAAGGGAGCCAGGGAAAGGATAGGAGATGAAGTCAAAGAAGTAATGGGAAGGGGTAGAGTGGGGCCTTGTGTGCTGCACTGAGGAAATTGGCTGTCTCACTGAATGAGTGACAACCATTATTGAGTTGTGAGAGAAGAATTAAACGACCTGACTTTGTTTTCAAGAGGATCTCTTTGAGTGCTGTGAGAGGGTTAGGCTGTGCAGGACAAAGGCAGATGTGGAGAGACTGGTTAAAAGGCTGGTGCATCACTCCCCTAGAGAGATAATGGTGACCTGGACCAATGTGGCAGTGTGGTGGTGATGAGCTGTGGTCAGATTCTGGATATGGGCTTTTCCCATATAACGTCAGTAATCTGTTCCACAAAAGTTGGACATTATGTCTGGAATCACTGACTTAGTATCTGTTTCCTGTTATTTTATTGTATTTTTTTTTAGTTTTTATTTATTTTGAGAGAGATCAGGACAACATGAGTGGGGAAGGGGCAGAGAGAGAGAGAGAGAGAGAGAGAGAATCCCACGCAAACTCTATGCTGCCAGCACAGAGCCTGACATGGGGCTCAAATACATGAAACCATGAGATCATAGATGACCTGAGCTGAAACGAAGAGTCGGACATTAACCAACTGAGCCACCCAGGCACCCCTTTTCCCACTATTTTAAATTTTTAAAAATGTTTTTATTTATTTTTGAGAGAGTGAGAGACAGTGTGAGGAGGAGCAGAGAGAAAGACAGAATCTGAAGCAGGCTCCCGGCTCCAAGTTGTCAGCACAGAGCCTAACACGGGGCTCAAACCCACAGACCACAAGATCATGATCTGAGCTGAAGTTGGAAGCCCAAAAGACTGAGCCACCCAGGCACCTTCCCCCCCCCATTATTTTAAATGGGAAAAAGTATAATGCTTCCCTCCTTGACCACAAACCCCCAATTTTCTAAAATGGCGCTAAAACACAAGAAAATATATACCCGATACATGCCCAGTAAGTTATAGTGTTAGATAGAAAATGCTGGTAACATTCCCTCCTGATCACCAGAGTTTGCTGCTTTGATGCATATCATGGCCTCTTTCAGTACCTGCAACAGGCATGATGCAAGTAAGCCCGTTTTGTTGCTACTTAGTGGGTGATGTTCTATCCAATTTGGAATGCAATTTGAGGATTTAAATGTACATCACTTGTTTAAAATATAGATCGGGTTTTGATGATGTAAATATGCATTTTTCTACATAAATATAAGCTGAATCAATACAAGTTTGTTGTATTAGTTATCTATTCGCTGTGTAACAAATTACCCCAAAACTTAGCAGCTTAAAACAACAATAAATATTTATTATCTCATGCAGTTCCTGTGGGTATTGGGGAGAAATTTGGGAGCAGCTTTGCTGGATGGTTCAGGATCAGGTTCTCTCATGAAGTTGCGAATATCTAAAGGCTTGACTGGGGCTAAAGGATTGCTCACTCACATGACTGGCACATTTGGTACTGGCTGTTTGCAGGTCTCAGTTTCTTGCCATGAGGTTCTCTCTGTAGACAGCTGCTCGAGTAGCCTCACAATATGGCTGTGACCTCCATCCAAGACAGCAGGGCAGAAGCCACAGTGTCTTTTATGACCTAGCCTCAGAAATCACACATTGTCATTTTCACATTATCCTATTGGTTACATAACTGCTCAGTGTGGGAGGGGAGTCTGCAAAGGCATGAACACTAGAAATTGAGGATCACTAGGGACCGGCTTGAAAGCTGCCTACCACAGTTGGGTATTAAAAACCAAAAGGAATTCTATAGGGAAAATATTAACTAGAGAGACATTTTGCTGTGTGTGCCTGTATTCACAAGTACAGGTGACAGGATTTGCTCGTGATTTGATATATAAGGTGTGAGGAAAAGAGACGACCCCAAGATTTTTTTCTGAAAAACTGAAAGGATGACATTGTCTTTCACTGAAATGGGAAAAAACTCTGGGAGGAGTAAATTTTTAAGAGAATAATCAGGAACTCAGTTTTGGACATATTACTTTGATATACTGTAAGACATCAAGTAGACAGTTAAATGTGTGTGCCTCTAGAAGTCAGAAGAGAGATTGGGGCTGGAAATAAAAATTGAAATCACTAATGTATCAGAGGAGTTTAAAACCATGCGTCATCTGGTTGGCTCAGTTGGTTAAGCATCCGATTCTTGATACTAGCTCAGGTCATAATCTCACAGTTATGAGTTCGAGCCCCATGTCAGGCTCTGCACTGGTAGTGTGAAGCCTACTTGGGATTCTCTCTCTCTCTCTCTCTCTCTCTCTCTCCTCCCTCTCCCTCTTAAAATAAACATTTAAAAAAATAATAAACGCACAAGACTGAATAAGATCACCAGTGGATTGAATGAAGACAGAGAAGAAATCCACAGGCTGAAATCTGGGTCCCCTAACTGAAAGAAGAACTGCAGAAAGGACTTAGCAGGAATGGTCTATGAGGTAGGTGGAGAACCAAGAAAGGAGGGTGTACAAGAAGAAAAGTGTTTTAAGAGAGAGGAAATCATCAAATATATATCAATTATTGGGGCACCTGGGTGGCTTAGTCGGTTAAGCGTCCGACTTTCGCTTAGGTCATGATCTCGCGGTTCGTGGGTTCGAGCCCCGCATCGGGCTCTGTGCTGACTGCCAGCTCAGAGCCTGGAGCCTGTTTCAGAGTCTGTGTCTCCCTCTCTCTCTGACTCTCCCCTGTTCACGCTGTCTCTCTCTATCCTAGAAATAAAATAAAAAATATTTAAAATAAAAAAATTTAAAAAAAAAAAAATATATATATATCAATTATTGCTACCGAGTGAGGTGAGAGGATCAACTAACAACCTTGATGGGAGCAGCGTTGCTGGAGTAATGGAGGCACAAGTCCAGTTGGAATGGCTTTAAGAATGAGTAAGAGAGGGGTACCTCGCTGGCTCAATAGTAGAGCATGCAACTCTTGATTTTGGAGTTGCGAGTTCGATACCCGCATTAGGTGTAGAGCTACTTAAAAAAAAAAGTGGGAGAAGTGGAGAGGCTGTGGCAGGTGTACTTCTTGATTACCAGATACCCGTGAGCTCCCCACATTTCCCAGTTCCTCTGGCCATGTGATTACTTCTGGCCAATCTATTTCTGGCCAATCTGGGCTTTGAAGTATTTAAGAGCTGGCACATGGCCTTCCTGCCCAATCTTTCACTGTCCAGTGATGTGGGAAAGGCATATATTCCAGATGGCAGAGCTATGAGATGCGAGTACCCTGGATTCCTGAATCACTGCTTGGAAGGGAGCTGAACTGCTACCAGACCCATGGTAAATTTTGTGTGAGCGAAAAATAAGCCTTTATGTGTGAAGCCTTTACAATTTTGGCATTCATTTGTTACACAGCATAGCCTAGTCTACTAATTATACTCCATGTATTATTTACTATTTTGAGGTCTGTTTGTTTTATAAAGAGCAGCCAAAAAAAATGGGGTAGAAACTAGAAGGGAATGTAGAGTTAAGGGGGGGGGATTCTCTTAACTTTTTAACTGAAATAATACAAACATAAAGTTCACAAATCATAAGTACAGCTCAGTGAATTATAACGAGTGAACACACCCAAAGGAAGGTGTTTTGAAAATGGAGGAAGCGTCAGCATTTTGGTGCAGGGTGGGAGAGAAGGGGAAACGAATGACCTGGGGGACGGAGAGGGACAGCTGCTGAAGCCATGTGCTTGTGCTCAAGAGCGAAAGGGACTGCAGTGGGGGAGTTTGCTCCCAGTGAAGCAAAGACAGCTCATCTTCAGTGAGAAGGAAGGCAGAGTCTGGCAGGTGAGACGAGGTGGTGGTGGGAATCTTGGAAGTTATCTTTTGCTGACTTCTGCTCTCTCAGTGATATCATGGATCGTGATCTATGAGTGAGCGTGGGAGAAGTAAGTGATGGAAGTCTGAGAAGAGAGAAGGTGTGAACTTATTGACAGGGAACGGGAAAGTGAGTCGACATAGAAATGTAGTAATTTGAAGCAATGGTTCTGGACCTACTCCCCGGAAAGAAGCACATAGTAGTCCAGGTCTCCATCCAGGGAGTCAGGTCCAGAAGGCTTGGCCACAACCCTGGGACTGTCAGTAGCAGCTTGCCCTCTGCCTGGATACAGACAGACTCGTCTGTCTCTCTGGGGACACTCCATCTTCACATAGCAGTGCAGACCCCAATCTCGCTTTTAGGTTAGCTTGTGAAATCATGCTGTGCGAGGTTCTCATGTGACCTGTATCTTGCTGAAAGACCTAGGCATGGCCTAGTTATGGTAGCACCCACTGCCCCAGCCTCTGTGGTGTTACAGTGCTTGTTTGGCCTGTTTGGGATTACTCCTCTTGGTCTCTGTTTCTGAGCGGACCTTTCTGAACTGGTAGCTGTTGAGGGCAAGTAGCCTTTTAGTTACTCTGGCCCTCTGTCAGACAAGGTGGCCCATGCCTTGGTCCTCTGGGCTCTGACTCACGCTAGGAAGCTTCACTCTTTTTTTCTTTTTTTTTTTTTTTAATGTTTTATTTATTTCTGAGAGAGAGAAAGACAGCGTGAGCAGGGGAGGGTCAGATAGAGAGGGAGATACAGAATCCGAAACAGGCTCCAGGCTCTGAGCTAGCTGTCAGCACAGAGCCCAATGTGGGGCTCGAACCCAGGAACCGTGAGATCATGACCTGAGCCGAAGTCGGACGCTTAACCGACTGAGCCACCCAGGTGCCCCTAGGAAGCTTCACTCTTGACTGTCCTAATGGATGAGGTTAGTGACCTAGAAAATCCCCAAAGGTAGATGTTCCCCCAAATTATCTTTCTTTGGTCCTACTCTAAGCAGGGTGCTACTATTGGCCAGTGGTGCCCAAATTTCACTTGTTCTGTGATGCTCCAGGTTTGGTGCAAGAGTGGCCACCAGGCTTCCCTGTCTGCTTTGCCCATTGAATTTCTGCAAAAGATGCATTTGAGAAAGGATTCCATAGCTTAGAACAAAGATGACCAAACAAACAAACAAACAAACAAAACCCCAAAAAACTTGAAAGTCAGTTCTTTGGGTATATACAGAAACTGCCTGATAGGAGCTCTGGTGGGATGAGGATAAGGGGTCTGAGAGAGTGACCGTGGACACAGGCAACCTGGGAACACACAAACAAGAGTGATGGGGATGCTGTCTCTTTTGTGGAGCTAGTAAGAAACAAGGCTTCATTTATTCCCTAGGACTCTGCCCTAGGAGGCCAGGGACAGGGTCTACTTTGCTCACACTAACACCAGTCCTTCCCAGGCCCTTGGCCTGCCTTCTTCATAAGTCTCTGACTGGTCTTTGCAGTCCTCTCGCCTATCTAGCCAGATTTGTCTTCGCGAAAGGGTCAGTGCCTCAGTGGAACCCCTCCCCTGTGAATGTATTTTGCCTGCCAAATGAAAGTGCTTCAGCCTGCCATTCAGGGGCCCTTAGAGGTGACTCCAAGTGAGCCATCCAACTTTGTTATCCTTGTCATCCACTCATCGCCACCTCCACTTGGCCCTGAGGCTGCCGAAGGACTAGGAGATCAAGCTGAGTCTGTTCTGGCATTCAGGTGGGCACTGACAACTGTTATGTCTATAGTTGTACAGCTGTATAGTTGTAAGGCAAGCCGTGGTGCCAAATTCAGAAAGTACAAAAGTGTACTCAGAAAAAAGCAAGCCTGAAGACAAGCCTGTTTGCTCTTTCTTTGCAAATGCTTAGATATTCAGAAAGAACTATTGGTCATTTCAGTTTTGAATGAGGAAATGTTCATGGTAGGATGTGTAGTGAAAGATACCAGGGTACAGAATTGTTTCAATTCCCAGCTCCCAGTGCTTCCACCCTGTTGTGACATTGGGCAAGGTATTTACTCTCTCAGCCTCAGTCACTTTATCTATAGAGCCAGCCTGAGACAGGAGCACCTGTCGCAGAGTGCAGTGATCAGGCTTAGATAACCGTGTCCACTTACACTTCTTAGCACACTACCTTGGTGCTCAGTGGGTGTTAACTGCTGTTATCAGTTTGTAAAACAGACAAAAAATTATTTACATTTTATGTGCAGTCAAAAAAAAACCTAGAGGGGCGCCTGGGTGGCTTAGTCAGTTAGGCGTTCGACTTCAACTCAGGTCATGATCTTGTGGTTTGTGAGTTGAAGGCCCACCTTGGGCTCTGTGCTGACAGCTCAGAGCCTGCAGCCTGCTTTGGATTCTGTGTCTCCCCCTCTCTCTTTGCTCCTCCCCTGTTCTCTCTCTTTCTCTCTCTCTCTCTCAAAAATAAACATTAAAAAAACTTTTTTAAAAACTGGAAAGAAATGCACCAAAATGTGAACAGTGAAAGATCCTGAATGGCAGGGAAATGGTGACATTTCTTTCTTTATCCTTTTTTGTATTTTCCAAGTTTTCTACAATGAATAGGTACAATGAATTCTTCCTTTTCTATTTAGAAAAAGAACATCATACCTCATTTTTTAGAGGGGAATACTCAGAACCCATTCCCCAGAGGTTTGAGCTAGCTGGATCTTGGCGAGGGATGCTTCCTGTACTAACCACTGTTGCTGTACTGGCAGTGACCCCTGCCAACAGCACCTCCCTCCTTACCCTTGACACTGCCTTTGTTTGCCCCACAGGAGAGCCCAAGGGATGGCTGCTGACATGGAGAGGAACAGGAGCAGCGAATGCCCCGATGGCACCCTGGCCCCTTCTGATGGGCAGAGTATGGAGAGAGCTGAGAGCCCCACACCAGGACTGGCTCAGGGAATGGAGCCAGGTATGGGCAGGGTGTGCAGCTCCAGGCAGATGACAGTGAGAGCAGCCTCCAGGGCAACTGGGATTCCCACCAAGTCTTTCATTCCCACTCATTCATGCACTTGTCCAGTCACTCATGGGCAATTTGTCAGGTGCTGGGGATACCGCAGGGCACCGGGCTCGGTCTGTGTCTGGCCTTCCTCTGCACTTCATGTTGGGCTACTCAGCCTGTGCTGTCTGGCTGCCAGCATGGGTTCTCCTCCTGTTCCCTGGGTCTACTGTGTGCCTTCCTGGCTCCTTTTCCCTCCCTCAGCTCTCAGCTTAAATGTCACCTCTGCACGAGTTAGGCCTGCCTGCTCTGACCATGCTCTGTATAGGACAGTAGTTATTTTGTCATTTTATTTGTTTCTTTTATTTTTATTTTATTTTGTCATTTTATTTGTTTATTGCCCATCTCTCATCCACAAGATTTTGAGCTTTTTGAGCACAGAGTAGTTGTATTCCAAATGCCTAGTATGGTACCTAATTCATCGTAGAGAGTCAAAAATACATCTTTTGAATTATTCTGTCAAAAAAAAAAAAAATCAGTAGAAAAAGACTGACATGGTCCCTGCCCTAGGGGAGCCACTCCTGGGCCAGTGGAGTGAGTTAGGAACTATGGTTTGAACAGGGTCAGGGAAACTGCTCACAGGGAGAGAGAGTCACTGCGCAGAGGAGGTATTCCACGCACAGGGCAAGGTGCTGGGCACACAGCAGTGAACAACCACCTTGCTGCCCCTCAGGAGGAATCCCACTGTAGTTGGGGAGAAGGATAATAACTGACTAGTGGTACAAGAGAAATCAAAGAGAGAGAGATGCTAGAGTGCCCCGGCTTGGAGGTCAGGTGAGGAGGTAACTAATGTCTTTGCTGAGAGCTGAAGTGTGACAAGGAGCCGGCCATGAGAGGAGGTGGGAGTGCTTTCCAGACAGAGGGAACAGCAGGTGCAGAGGCCCTGAGGTAGGTGGGGGCATGTTGAGGGTGTCAAAAGAGCAGGTGGATGAAAGTCAGTGTGACTGGACTGGGTAAGGGCTGTGAGATGAGAACGTGAGAAGCAAGTTATTCCTGCAGCCATGAGGGGTTTGGATTTTATTGCCAATGCGATGGGAGGAAACTGGTGGGCTGTAAGATTCAGGGATGCATAACTTGTAGCAGGCAGCAGCAGGAGGGAACAGTGGCTTGTCTCTCCGGGACAGGCGGCAAAGCTAGAGTGCCATATTACGCATCTTGCTGGTAAGACGGTCTGCCAGTGGCTATTGCTCTAAGCACCAGTGCTTTTGGCTGGCAGGTGCCGGGCAGGAGGGTGCCATGTTCGTCCATGCACGTTCCTATGAGGACCTGACTGAATCGGAGGATGGGGCAGCTTCTGGGGACAGCCCCAAGGAGGGTGTTGGGGGTCCTCCACCACTGCCTACAGACATGCGACAGATCAGCCAGGACTTCAGCGAGCTGAGCACCCAACTGACGGGTGTGGCCCGAGACCTGCAGGAGGAGATGCTGCCAGGAAGCTCTGAGGACTGGCCAGAGCCTTCAGGGGCAGCTGGCCGGCCAGCCACAGAAACCCCCAGGGAGGGCACAGGCGAGGGGGATGAGGAGGAGGCTGCTGAGGCATGGCGACTGCACCAGAAGCACGTCTTCGTGCTGAGCGAGGCGGGGAAGCCTGTGTACTCCCGCTATGGGTCAGAGGAGGCACTTTCCAGCACCATGGGTGTCATGGTGGCCCTGGTGTCCTTCTTGGAGGCAGACAAGAACGCCATCCGTTCTATCCACGCAGGTGAGCCATCTGGAAAGGGGGGCAGGGAGGGCTCCCCTGACCACGATTAATTCATAGCACAGGGTGAATTCATAGTCCCCCAGAGACTAGAGGGCTGGGATGTGCTGTATGACCAAGGGCAGCCCTTCCACCTCACTAGAGGGCAATGACCTCATTGTCATCTGAACATAGGTAGCAACAATGACTGCCTTACAGGGTATTGTGAAGGCCAAAGGTGGCTCTACGTGGGCTTTGCCCTTGGAGAGAACTAGAAGTCCTAGGTCCGGAGCCCCACCCAGCTCTTGACATTTAACACAAGAATGTTTTTCTGAAGTGCTCACTGCATTTTGGCTGGTGCCGCTCTGTGAAGCAAGTGGCAGGGACATCCTAGAATCCTCAGGGGAAGGGAACCGTGGGCTGCTGTTTTTATCTTCATCATCCTTAAGCCCCTACTGTGTGCAGAGATCTGAGGGAGGGTGGAGAGGATGTAGAAAGCTACAGGCTGCGTAGGAAGCCGGGGCTCCCAGGGAGCTGGGCAAGGCCAATCCCGGAGGGCTCCCCGGAGAAGCTGACATCCCCTCCCTCCACCTTCAGATGGCTACAAGGTAGTATTCGTGCGCCGGAGCCCACTGGTGTTGGTGGCAGTGGCGCGCACGCGGCAGTCGGCGCAGGAACTGGCGCAGGAGCTGCTCTACATCTACTACCAGATCCTGAGCCTTCTTACCGGTGCCCAGTTGAGCCACATCTTCCAGCAGAAGCAGAACTACGACCTTCGGCGCCTGCTCTCTGGCTCGGAGCGCATCACCGACAACCTGCTGCAGCTAATGGCACGAGACCCCAGCTTCCTCATGGGGGCAGCGCGCTGCCTGCCCCTGGCGGCGACCGTGCGCGACGCGGTGAGTGCCAGTCTGCAGCAGGCGCGAGCGCGCAGCCTTGTCTTCTCCATCTTGCTGGCGCGCAACCAGCTGGTGGCGCTCGTGCGCCGCAAGGACCAATTCCTGCACCCCATCGACCTGCACCTGCTCTTCAACCTCATAAGTTCCTCCTCGTCCTTCCGTGAGGGAGAAGCCTGGACGCCCGTGTGCCTACCCAAATTTAATTCCGCCGGCTTTTTCCACGCACATATCTCTTATCTGGAGCCTGACACCGACCTGTGCTTGTTGCTCGTCTCCACCGACCGGGAGGACTTCTTTGCAGTCTCTGACTGCCGCCGCCGCTTTCAGGAGCGCCTGCGGAAGCGCGGAGCCCACCTGGCGCTGCGGGAGGCACTGCGCACGCCCTACTACAGTGTTGCCCAAGTGGGCATCCCGGACCTGCGCCACTTCCTCTATAAGTCAAAGAGCTCAGGACTCTTCACCAGGTGAGGGAGGACCTTGGGAGCACTACTTGAGGGAGACGGGGACGGGAGGGGAAGCAGTTGGTCCTGAACCCTGATGCAGTCCTGGAGCTGATGAGCATCTGGGAATGGACTGACATGTTGGGTCTGTTTTACTCTGACATCAGGGACCCAGACTCCCTATCACTCTTCTCCCTATGGGCATATACCTCTCTACTTTGTTACCCAGAAAGCCTTGAAATGCCCAGTACACCAGAAGGAAGCTGTAACAGAGGTCTCCTGGATCTCCTGCTCTGGAGCAGGTCTGCCTTAGGGGTCATTTTGATACCATCCAGGATGCAGAACTCCTCCAACAGAGGGGCTGTGGCCAGATGTGGCGTCTTCTGCCCTCCCATTACCCCTTTTGGGTTCCCAGAGTACTTTTCCTCCACTTCAGACATGTCACTTTTGTCTTGGACACCTAAACTCAGATTGGCCTCTCCAAGGGAAGTTCACCAAAGATGCTATGAACTTGGGGGAGGGGGGAAGAACAGGGCTCCAGTCTGGGTGGGCCCAGCTCTGTCCTGGGGAGTCTTCTGTGGTAAGGAGACAATGCTCCATCCTGGGAGAACATTTGGAGGGTAGGACACATGGCAGAGTCTCCCCGGCTAGGACGAGTTTGTTTAGATCTCCAGAGAAGGCAATGAAGGTTATTTCTTTGCCAACCCACTCCCCCATCTCCAGCCCTGAGATTGAGGCCCCGTACACCAGTGAAGAGGAGCAGGAGCGGCTGCTGGGCCTCTACCAATACCTGCACAGCCGGGCCCATAATGCCTCCCGCCCACTCAAGACCATCTACTACACGGGCCCCAATGAGAACCTCCTGGCCTGGGTAAGGCAGCCCTGGGATGGGCTTGGCTTCATCGGGATCCCGGGCAGGGGCCCCAAGAGATGTCTAACCGCGATGACTACCCTGTGCCCCCTCCTCCAGGTGACAGGTGCCTTTGAGCTCTACATGTGCTACAGCCCTCTGGGGACCAAGGCATCTGCCGTCAGTGCCATCCATAAGCTGATGCGCTGGATCCGCAAAGAAGAAGATCGCCTCTTCATCCTCACGCCCCTCACCTACTGATGGGGATATGTGTGGGTTCAGCCCTCTTAGGCACACTGGGCCATGGAAGCTATGGGAGCCTCCACATGGGCTGGCCTCTCTTGCCCAGGCAGCAAACAAGCAGGGACTGTGGGTTGGGGCATGCATTAAAGTGCTCTGGGGAAGACACTCATTAGGCCTTGTCACTGGTCCCTTCACTCACACAGTCTCACTCCTGCAGATACCAGATCCCCCTCCTTAGTCCTTACCTGTGCTTCCCCATGCACAGGAGCACAGGCACTTAGAATCGAACCTTGGGCTGGGTCTTTTCACTCAGCTAAAGTCTTGCCATACATAAAATGCTCTCTAGCACCCCACTGGCCTTGGCCCCCACAGCCCCACCCCAGTACTCAGTCTGAGTCCCTGGTGCCTCCTAGAAGGGCACAGCCCCTCTCTCTCACCCCTAGCAGGGGCCCCCAGCTGTGTGCCCCAAAGGACCACTCATATACCCTGGGGGCTGTGGCTCTGCTTAAAGGGCTGCTGTAGTTCAGCAGTGACTAAGCTGAGTAAGAGGACAGTCAACTAGGGAGAGTCTGGGCCTTGGTACTGGTGGGTGAGATCCCTTGGTGAGGTGGTTGGGTATTCAGCACAGATAAATTCAGAGACCAGCCTCACTCCCTCAGGCCTCTGGGGAAATTGTCTTGGTCTTCCTCATGAAGAGCTATCCACCTTGGCATCTGTACTTTTGGCCATGCCTTCCTCAGAATGTCCCCAGGAGTGAGCTGGAGGGCCTGCAAGAAGAGCCAGCTGACTTCTGGGGTAGGGGTGGACCCTGCCCTAGGAAGGGCAGATGCCACTAGGCACACTGGGCCCTCTTCAGCCATGCTGGCATGGTCCAGCCCACAAGGGTCACTGTGGACATCTCAGAAGGCTCAACAGTGAAGGCACAGACCCCTACACTCTTATCATGAGACCCTCTTCGGACAGAGCCCAAGGCATAGTGCAGAAGGACTCTATCTTGCTGTTGGCGGGGGGGGGGGGGGGGCGCTTTAGACTGTCGAGGGAATCACCCTTATGCAGTCTCTGAGAGCTGGGCTAAGATACTCTGCCACTAAAACCAACCCATGTTGGAAAATATATTTGGTGGGCGGCATAGGCCAAGGGTACACTGGAATGGTTCTACTTACTATCTTAGGAAATGGCAGCATAGCCCCTGCCCTTGGCCCTATCCTGGATCACATTAGAATGTGTATGGCAGCAAACTGCCTGCCTAGGCCCCAAGGTGCTTGGGGAACAGCGATAGGCTTGGTGGTGCTGCTCACCCTGCACATGTGCACATTTCTGCCTGTTCCTGCTTCTGTTTTCTCCCCCTTGATCTTGGCCAGTGCACCAAACCACTGCCTCTGGGGCCAGGGTGATGCCGGGCCAGCAGTCCATGGCTGCTATTGGCATTCCTGTGGTCAGTGGTCAGTCCCTAGGTACCCTTGTGATTCTTGTAGGACTCTCAGCTCCTCTGCAGTTTAGCACCTATTCTGGGTGGGTGTGGAAATGGTGGTCACAATTAGGTGAGTGTGTGTACCTAGGACAGTAGGCACCTGGAGCGTGGGTTTATCTGTCTGGGGATCAGACAGGCCAAACAGGGAAGGTGTTCTAGTGGAGGAACCAGCATGTGCAAAGTGAAGGATCTGGTGAAGAGCCTGGTATTACTGGTTTACAGTGAAGCTGGAGAAGCTTTCAAGGCCTAGGGTTCTTCCAACTCCAGGAAGTCTAGCAGCGGGAAGCCACTGAACTTGTTTTAAAGCTGCAGAACGATATGGTCATATTGTAGTTAGAGAGATCCCCTGCTACCACTCAGATGATCTCTTTGGGTTGGAGAAAAAGGCTGGCAGTAGGTTTTTATTTTTTGGTTTTGTTTTTTGTTTTTTGTTTTTGTTTTTGTTTTTCTGAGTAATGTTCAGAGTGATGTGAGAACCCAAAAAGGGAAAAGAGGGCACTCCTTCAAGGTGATAGATACTGGGGCAGTTGGGCAGGTCGAAACCAAATATAGGCCAGGCCTTGTGAGTTCAACTTGGGGGGAGCACTTAAACTTAGCACTCCAAGGCCCCACTAGCTGACTTCCCCTACATGGTTTGCCTGCCCTGCTCCTGCAGAGTGAGCAGATGGGGAAGAAGGGAGGGGCGTTCCTGTGGATGCTGGTTCTCAAGGACTGGGCTGTCCATGAGGGGACGCTGTCCTGGGAGTAGCCAACATCTTGGCCACACGGTGGCAGCAGGGAATCAACTGTTGATGGCTGCACCCCACCCCCCAAATGAGTGGACAGGGTGATCAAGGAGGGTCCCTGAAGTCTCCTCCCAACCCACAGAAGTCTCTCTGAATGTATGACTAGGGTCCAAGAAACTGTCTTGGTGCCAGTGGAGAATGTTTCATTTCAGTTTTGCTGGGCATGATCTTTAATCATGTTGACTGTGGAACACAGGAGCTGTGCCATGACTTTATGGGTATTTATTCATTTCCGGGCCAATTCTGGTTAGAGAAGGGAGTGCCATTTATGTTGCCTGAGGCTCTGAATCCTCCCAGTACTGGGTGTGGCTGCCCACTCCTGCTGTTTCCTCTCACTACCTACCAGGTGCTCACTACCTACGTCCAGCCCCAAGGGGGAGGGGAGTCCAGCACTAGGAATGGGGAAAGTGGGAAGTCAGGTATTCAGAGTCAACTGTGCTGGGGTGATATAGCACATGATTTGTGGGACCCACAAAATGGACTGGGCATTGACTGGATCAGGAGGGCTTCCTGTAGGTTGTGCCATCTAAGCTGCAAGAGAAGGAAAGGGAAAAGGTGCTCCTGGAAGGAGAAACGAGTAGTATTGTCTGGATGGGGGAGTAGAGGGGATACAGCTCCAAAAGTCAGGCTGAATGAGTCTGCTGAGCTGAAAGCTCCTCTCTCCCCCACCCCTTTTACCCTCCAAAGCCCTGGGCCCCACAGTTCACAGATCCCTCAGACCTCAACCTCGGGCCACCCTATGAAGGTTGTCCTCCCACCAGGGTCAAGACCCACCTGACTAAGGGGGCTGTCAGGCTGACAAGTTCCCCCAGCGCCCCCTTTCAGTGTTAGGGAGAACCAGTTATCAAGGAGCAGCTGCTGAAGTCCACATGCAAGAGGCAAACTTGCCTCTCCTCCCCCTAATCCGAGATGCTTCAGACTGCAGAGAGAACTCTGGGCAGCCACCTAGTTAGAACTACATCCTCATTTCAGAGACGGAGAGACTGAGGCCCAGCATAGCTTACAGAGCGGGTTAGAGGTGCCCTGTCAAAGCCCATGTTTCCCCCATATCAGGCGGGCACAGCAGCACAGCCAGCAGAGAAGGCCAGCACTGTGTGTTTTGTTAGCCCCATCCTGCAGCTTCTGCCTATTGAGGCAGTGGTGGAGGGACCACAGCTAGGTTTGGGCCTCCATATAAGCAGCCTCTCCTTTGTCTCTAATGTCCAGCCAGCAGGCTGGCCCTAACTCATAACCTCTACCATCTTGGGCAGGCAGGGGGCAATGCGCCTTCCTTTGACACCATCTAGTCACTGACATTCCAGGGCAGGCCCATAAAAGGATGACCCTTGACCTCAGAGGGTACCCTTCAGGTACAGATTCTTGGTCTCTCAGGGGCCTCCAGGCCCTGTTCTGGAACCAGCGTCTGAGTGTGTTGGCTGTATACTGGTGCCAAGGGAAGAAATAAGCCAGGTGGTCCTCAAACCCACACTGGTGCTGGGGTGGCTTCTGACCCCTCCTCACTTCAGCCCAGTCGGTCGTGAGCGGCAGGAAGGGATGACTCAGACCTGCCTACCTCTCTCTGGGCCACTCCACACAGGCTCACCACTGAAAGAAACGCCCCCAAGAGAAGGTGTAGGTGACAGGCTTGCGAGGGCCTGGAGAGTCCCGCGGAGGAGCTGGCTAGGCCCCGCCTTTAGCAGGCCCCGCCCACAGCCCCGCCCACACGCCCTGGCCCCGCCAGCCCCACCCGGCGCCCTCCGGCCGACTTTGCTCTGAGCGCCTGCTTGGAGTAGCAGCTCGGGCTGCAGGTGAGGGGGCCTCTCCGTTCACTGGCGGTGTGTGTGTTCTCCTGGTGCCAGGTGCTCAGACCCGAGGGCAGGGGAGGGCGCTGGGCGTCACGCTGGGTGTGGGTCAGCTGCCCGAGGGCTCTCAGGACCGGCTGTGGACTCAGGTCCCAGTCGGGACCTCGAGTCTGCTCCCAACCAGGCCCCGGCCTCCCTCCGGAAATCCCTGTGGGGCCCCAGCTGGGCCTCGATGGAGCTTCTCTCGCCGCTGTCGCAGCCTTCATTGTTACTGCTCCTGCTCCTGCTGTCGCCGCTGCTGACCGGAGGGTCCTGGCAGTGCCCGCGCACCCCCTACGCCGCCTTACGCAATTTTGACGTGGAGTACAAGGTGCCCAGCTTCTCGGCCGGAGGTCCGGTACAGGCCATAGCGACCTACGAGGGCGGCAGAGATGGGAGTGCCGTGTTCGTGGCTACACGCAATCGCCTGCACGTGCTTGGGCCTGGCCTGCAGCCAATAGAGAGCCTGGCCACAGGCCCTGTTGGGGACCCTGGCTGCCAGACGTGTGCGGCCTGTGGTCCGGGCCCCCACGGCCCACAGGGAGACACAGATGCACGGGTGCTGGTGCTGGAGCCGGTGCTGCCCGCACTAGTCAGCTGCGGCTCCAGCCTGCATGGCCGCTGCTTCCTGCACGAGCTAGAGCCCCAAGGGACAGCCCTGCACCTGGCACCGCCAGCCTGCCTCTTCTCTGCCAACCACAACCAGCCCGAGGACTGCCCTGACTGTGTGGCCAGTCCTCTGGGCACCCTCGTGACCGTGGTTGAGCAGGGCCATGCCTCCTACTTCTACGTGGCATCCTCACTGGACCCGACGATGGCCTCGAGCTTCAGCCCCCGCTCAGTGTCCATCCGGCGCCTCAAGGCCGATGCCTCAGGATTTGCACCCGGGTTTGCGGCACTGTCCGTGCTGCCTGAGCACCTCGCTTCCTATCCTATTGAGTACGTGTACAGTTTCCACGCCGGAGCCTTCGTCTATTTCCTGACGGTGCAGAGGGCCCGCGTGACAGCCGCCCCGGGAGCCTTGCACACACGCCTGGCACGGCTCAGCGCTGTTGAGCCCGAGCTGGGCGACTACCGCGAGCTGGTCCTCGACTGCCGATTCGCGCCCAAACGCCGGCGGCGCGGGTCCCCCGAGGGAGGGCAGCCCTACCCGGTGCTGAGGGTGGCCCACACCGCTCCAGTGGGCAGCAAGCTGGCTGCTGAGCTGAGCATCGCTGAGGGCCAAGAAGTGCTATTTGGCGTCTTCGGGACTAGCAGAGACAGCAGCCCCGGTGTGAATCCCAGCTCTGTCGTCTGTGCCTTTCCCATCGACCTAGTGGACACTCTCATCCAGCAGGGTGTGGAACGCTGTTGTGAGCCTCCTGTACCCCCTGGCATCCGGCGAGGCCTCGACTTCTTCCAGTCGCCTAGTTTTTGCCCCAACCCGGTGAGCAGAAAGAAGGGGCCTTCACCTGTGAGCAGGTGGTAGAATCCAGTAAGAGGGTCTGGGATGGAAGGACAGGGGGGAAGAAGTTTTCTCTTCCACCCAGTTCCATAGTGCTGGGGGGCAGGGTGGGGGAGTGGAGGGTGTGAGAGAATCAGCCAAGCACAGGCCAAACTGGGGGCTCACCTACTAGCCAGACTAGCCTCTGTTTTCTCCTCCATTTTGCTCTTTTCACTCTCTCTCTTAGGTACCATGGCCTCTGATTTTTTTTAGGTAGTTTCCCAGATTGTGTGAGAACCAGACTGCATCACAACTGTCTCTGGCAGAGACACTGCCAAACTCCTGGTAGAATGATGAGATCCCCTTATCTGCCCACCACACGTACCCTCAGGGACATACACAGAGAAACAGCCTCCTGCACAAGCAGATGCTAACAGAGTCACACAGATACAGCTGCTCACCAGCACAGTTTCTCTTTTCCTTTGGAAGCACTTGTTTTGTTCTGCTTTCCACAGAGGGTGGGGCAGGAGCTGTTAGAGGATGCCCCCACTCCACCCCCATTCCAGGGAGCCTCCTGGGCCTTGGAAGTTTGGGAGCTTGTCAGAGAGCCTGCATGGCTTGGGCTTCACAGACAAACTCTTCCCTATTGTTTTCTGTGGGGTGACTGGGGAAGAACTGAGGACATGATGGTAAGGCGACTTGGCTCTAGTAGATTCCAGGAAGCTCACCCAGTCTTGTGCAAGCAACTGTAAACATCTGGGGATGAGTAAAGGCTTAGGAGGGGCTGGTTGGGATTGGTTCACCATGAAAGAGTCCCAGACTTTCTTCCACTATGGTTGGGGTCCTGCTCCAGCTCACCATCTCACCCCAAGCAGGAGGTCTCCCAGCCATTGCTAAATTGGGGGCTCTTTCCAGCAGACTGTACCCAGGTTCTCTCCATCCATGGTGTCAGGGATCTGGAGCAGAGTTAAACAGGACATTCCTTAAAATGCTAAGGACAAAACCAAAACCAACCCTTTCGAGCCATTGAAATAGTCCTACCCTAGCTTGTAAGAGATTAAACCAAGGCAATGGGTGAACAACGTTGGATGAATGGTCTTTCAGTGAGCTGACTCACAGTCACTGCTCTGTGTCCTTGGCTGCACTGTGACCCTGATACTTCTGTGATGTTCCCCACTGACTCCTTTCTAGCTCTCATTAATGCCTCAGAGGTGGAAGGAGAATGTACAAACAGTGAGGAGTAGGGCATCTACAGCCTCCCTCCCTCAGCTGGGTCCATCTGGGTTGAGGAGGCCGTATGGGTGGGGAGCCCTCATCTGGGCCTGGACAGCCCTGTCTGCCCTCCTCTCTTTCCTTCTGGGGAATCTGAACCTCTCACAGACTTGGCTAGTGGTCAGTGGGTCAGAAGACATTCAGCATGAGTTGGCAGTGCTAGATTTGAGGAAGACTGATCTCAAGACGGCCCACAAGCTGGCCAGGGAGGTGTTGTGAACCAGCCTGTACAGTGTTTGTCCAGTGACTGGGCCTGTAGCCTCCAGGGCAACACCCACTGTGTGCTGTTTGTGGCTGGCCTAAGGAAGCCCGTGGGGCTCTGAGCTGGCACCTGCCTTCCACGGGTTCAGGTGGGATTTGACTCTGGAGCAGTCACCCTCCTCTGTGGGGCACTGGACACTGAAGTCATGTTCTCAGGAGCCACAGGCTCATAGACAAACCTGAAAACCCAGAGATAAGGCCCTGGAACCCGGGGGCAAGCAGACAGGGGTGTGGTCCTGACTGGGGTAGGGCCTCTTTGCCAACGCTCAGCCCCACCTGTCCCTGAGTCATGCTAAAAACACCTAGCTGGCTTCCGGCTAAGGCCAGGCCCCTTTCCCACCTCAAGTGAGGACAGAGTCCCAGTTCCCACCCAGCCAGGCTACAGACCTCAATCGTGTGGAGTTTCTGTGCTCTGCACCCTCAGGGCTCCTGATCAGCACTGAGGTCTGAGGACTAAGTTAAGCATACTTGGTTTGATGGGAGCTTCAGGGCTGGCAAGGGAATGTCGCAAGCCGCTAGGGCTACTGAGCCCTGCCTGTGCTTTGCACCCAGCTCCAATACCTTGCGTTCATACCCTGATCTGATTTCCCAGAAGCTTCCACAATCCTGCCTTGGGACCTTGAGTGCAGACCCCCAAAACACCCTCCTGTTAAGAGCAGGTGACAGGTGTTTCCCAATCCCTGGGGCCTAGCCTTCAGGCCTTGGTTTTTCCCTTTTGTACCCTGAAGGAGATACAGGTAGCAGCTTGAGGTGTAGGAAGATCTTTGGAGTCTCAGGGAGAAGGACCATGTTACCAGCTCCATGCTGGCCAATTAAGTTCAGAGTTTAGCCACCTTAGGCTGGAGAGAAACTGAAGCCCAAAAAGGGGACAGGGTTTGCTGCAGTGCAGGGAATAACCAGCAGGGGGCGGAAGAGGACTCTGGTCAAGACTGACTTCTTACCTGGCTCCTCTCCTGAAGGCCTATTAGGCCTTGGACAAGTGACCAAATGCTTTCTGAGCTCATTTCCTTATCTGCAAAATAAGGGTGTTGAGAGCACCCACTTTACATAGCGGTTGTAAGAGAGAATGAGGTTGGGTCTGTGAGACTCTAAGTCATTATCAGAATAGACATGGCAGGTCAGGGCAAGACATAGGGGAAGTTGGCTTTCTAGCCTGGGCTTTCCTTCCTGGCCTTACTACCTCTAAGAGCCCCACAGGTGGGAGGAGGTGGGTAAATGACAGACTTGGGGCCTTATCTAGCCAAGCCAGATAACAGATGGGGGTTTGGGCTGCTGTGGTCACTGACAGAGATCTCAGGGGGTGAGTGTGTGGGGATGAGCCCTGACTCCTTATCTGACACTCCTCAGCCTGGCCTGGAGGCCCCCAACCCCAACACCAGCTGCCATCACTTCCCTCTGCTGGTCAGCGGCAGCCTATCACGTGTGGACCTCTTCAATGGGCTATTAGGACCAGTGCAGGTCACTGCACTGCATGTGACACGCCTTGCCAATGTCACAGTGGCCCACATGGGCACAGCTGATGGGCGACTCCTGCAGGTAGGACCCCCATCTCCACAGCTCCATGTTCCTGGGTCCCCTTCCCTGTTACAATTTTGCTCACAGCTAACCTATCCCAGGTGGAGCTAGCCAGATCTCTCAACTACTTGCTATATGTGTCCAACTTCTCACTGGGCAGCAATGGGCAGCCCATACAACGAGATGTCCGTCGCCTTGGAGACCACCTGTTCTTTGCCTCTGGGGAGCAGGTAAGGTGGGACTGGGGTAACTGTGGAAACAAAGCCTCCCCATCCAATCCAGGGAGGCATTGATATACAATGCCTGACCTACAATGGGACCAGGCAGTCTCTGGGGCCTAGTTTTCCCTCCAGCCACCCCGAACCACCTGTCTGCCATTCCAAGGTCTTCCAGGTACCTATCCAGGGCCCTGGCTGCCGCCACTTCCTCACCTGTGGGAGTTGTCTGCGGGCACAGCGTTTCATGGGCTGTGGCTGGTGTGGGGGCATGTGTGGCCAGCAGAAGGAGTGTCCTGGCTCCTGGCAACAAGATCACTGTCCACCTGAGCTTACCAAGGTATGGCTTGCTTGGCGGGGCACAGGTAAGGGTGGGACAAGCTGGGCCTGGGGTGGGGGTCAGCATGTCTTGACCATGATTGTCAGGCCTGGAATGTCCTCAGTATCAACAAGGGGAGGATGGCACATGCAAAGACTTGGAGGCAGAAAAGTGCCTGAGTGAGGACTACAAGTGACCTGGGAGATTGGAGGGAGGGCAGGCAAGGGGCATGGCGGAAAACTCTGGGAAAAGCAGATAGCTGAGAGCCCGGACCCACACAGGGACTCAGGCTCTCTCCCCCTCTTCAGTTCTACCCCCAGAGTGGACCCCTAAGGGGCAGCACAAGGCTGACCCTATGTGGCTCCAACTTCTACCTGCGCCCTGATGATCTGGTGCCTGAGGGCACCCATCAGGTCACCGTGGGCCAGAGTCCCTGCCGACTGCTGCCCAAGGACAGCCCAAACATCAGGTACAAGCTGGTCTCTGCCCTTCCTATCCCTGACAGGGGTGACCAAGCGTCCCCTTCCCTGTGAGACACTGTCTTGTGCTTAAATGGGGGCAAGGAGGTATCAGGCAAGCTGCAGTGGCTCTGGTTGCCTGGTGTCTGAGGAGACATCTCTGTCCCTGCTTGAGCCTGCGTATGTCCTACCTGTCTGTTGAGTCTTGGGACTAGGCAAGATTAGTCCCTGCCTCACCAGATCCTGCTTACCCTGGAGGAAGACACTGGTGAAGAGATACCATCCTCAGACTCAGAGGAGACCTGTGGTATGTGGGAGGCAGGCAGCCAGGCCGTGTGACCCCTGGCTGACCTTGGGTTCCCCTGGTACCCTAGCCCAGTGCCCCGGAAAGACTTTGTAGAGGAGCTTGAGTGTGAGCTGGAGCCCTTGGGCATACAGCCAGCCGGGCCTGCCAACGTCAGCCTCACTGTGACCAACATGCCACCAGGCAGACACTTCCGGGTGGATGGCACCTCCATGCTGCAAGGCTTCTCTTTCATGGTGAGGCCACCTTGCCGTGTCCGTACCCTTGGCCAGCCAAGCAATATGGGCAAGGAAGGGCTTGGAGTGGAAGGCCTTATATGCCAAGCTAAGCCACCTCTATATCCTCTTAGGAGCCGGTGCTGACAGCAGTAGAACCCCTCTATGGCCCACGGGCAGGGGGCACCCGTCTCACCTTTGAAGGCCAGGGCCTGTCTTTAGGCACCAGCCAGGCTGTGCTGATCAATGGGACTGAGTGCCCGCTGGAACAGTAAGTGCCAACATGCAAGGGGAGGGGAGGCTACAGGGCTCCCCACTCAGGGAGCCCTTACCAGGTGGGACTTGGATCCTACCAGGGCAGGAAGAGAAGAGCTCAAATGGTCAGTGTAGGGAGCAGGTCTAGGAAGAAGGGTCTGTTGCCCCCTCCAGCCCACAGGTGATTTGGGGATGGTAAGAGGGCCCATCCCAGAGTTTGGCTCTCGCCAAGGCTGTGGGGAACCTATTCCCACCCTGCCTCTTTCTTGGAAGTTTTAATGACCCTATCTTCAAACAGACCCATTGATAATGGGCAGGTTGGGGAGATGACCAACAGAAGAACTGAGAGGGATTGGCAGACCCTTGGAAGAGGTGGGGCTGGCCATCATGTGGAGAGTGATCCTGAGACCATTCCCCCCTCCCACCCCATTCTGCAGGGTCAGCGAGGGGCAGCTCTTATGTACTACGCCCCCTGGGGCTGCTACGGCCCGCGTTCCCATTCACCTGCAGGTGGGGGGTGCTGTGGTGCCTGGCTCCTGGACCTTCCACTACCTGGAAGACCCCATTGTGCTGGGCATCAGCCCCAACTGTGGCTACAGGTAAGTGCCACCCCCTTGCCCTATCTGGTCTCTTAGGAATGAGGGAGCCAGCCTCAGAGAGCACCCCAAGCCCACCACATTCCTTTCCTCCACAGTGGCTCTCGTGTCATCATCTATGGCCAGCATCTGACTTCAGCGTGGCACCTAGTGCTATCATTCCATGATGGGCTTATGGCAGTGGAAAACAGGGTGAGTGGTCACTGGCAGCTGCCAAGTGGACACTAGCCAGGAGGGAGGAAGTTTGGACCAGTCCCCTGAGTTCCAGCTCTACCCGATGTTGGGCTGAGGAGACTGGGGTGGCCCACAGGTGGGATGCCTGGCTAACCACTCTTGCATGGGCCCCATCAGTGTACAGGGCACCTCTCGGAGCAGCGTTGGTGCCACCTGCCTGAATATGTGGTCCGAAGCCCCCAGGGGTGGGTAACAGGGAACCTGAGTGCCTGGGGGGATGGAGCTGCTGGCTTCACACTGCCCAGCTTTCGTTTCCTGCCCCCACCCCATCCACCTACCACTGGCTTGGCCCCACTGAAGCCTGAGGAACATTCCATTAAATTTGAGGTAAGTATGAGGGGTCGAGGGCAGGGACGGTGAAGGGTTAGGGCTGAAGCCTTGCCCAGAGGAGATGGGGGCACTGGCCAGTCCTCATGACTCTCTGCAGTATATTGGGCTGGGCGCTGTGGCTGATTGTGTGGATGTGAACGTGACCGTGGGTGGTAAGAGCTGCCAGCATGAGCTCCGGGGGGATGTGGTCATCTGCCCTCTGCCCTCCTCCCTGCAACTTGACAAGGATGGCGCCCCACTGCAGGTAGGCAGCTCAGCTGGCCCTCCACATGAGACATGGCCCAGGGCTTGCAGGCTGGGCCTGAGCTGCCACCTGCCCCCAGGTCTGTGTGGATGATGGATGTCACATCCTGGGCAGGGTGGTGCGGCCAGCCCCAGAGGGGGTCCCACAGAGGCTACTCCTTGGTGTCCTGCTGGCCCTGCTCCTGCTTGTGGCTGCACTGGCCACTGCGCTGATCTTCAACTACCGGCGGAGGAAACAACTGGGTGAGCTCTTCATTCCCCTCTTGACTCAGCCTATACCCTCCCAAACATGGTATCTCCAAGTTCTCTTTCTGCTCAGGCCTTGGAGGTCCACCCACACCTCCTGGGTACTGAGTTTGGATAGACTGGCCACCAGGGGCTGTCTTTCCACAGTCCTTTCTCCAAACCTAGATGACCTGGTATCCTTGGACCAGACCACTGGAGCCATCCCCTTGCCTGTGCTCCGCTCAGGCTCTGACTACAGAAATGGCCTTGGTGAGAAGGGGGAGGCGCTGAAAGTTGGGGCCGCACCCTCTGCTCTACAAGCCCCTCACTCCCTCTCCTCCACAGCAGCCCCTGCCGCTGATGGTCTGGACTCCTGCACAGAGGGCCACAAAGCATCCGTCTCAGACAGTGGGGATAGGTCCTGCATCCCACTGCTGCAGACAGAGTCCATCCAGCTTGGGGACTTGGACTCTGTGCTCCTCTCCGAGGTCAAGGATGTGCTGATCTCACATGAGCGGGTGGTCACCCACAGTGACCGAATCATTGGCAAAGGTGTGGGGGCCAGGCCAGGTGGGGTTGGGGCAGAGATGGAGTCCTGAGATGATATGGACTCAAAAAGTATTGGGCAGGACTCTGATCTGGCCTTTTCACCAACGTTTGTGACCTTGGGCATACCACATAACCTCTCTGAGCCTCCATTTACTCATCTGTGAAATAGGAATTAGATCTGTCTTCAGTGGATTCTGGTGCAGATCAAGTGGGCATGGGAGGGGTGCAAGCTCTGTCATTATGTAGCTGCTATTTGTTTTTAATGTCAGATTGGCCAGTTGGTGCTCTGAGGTTTGGATGCCGATGAAAGGGTGTGGTGTGCACCCTGGACATTGGGGCCCTCTCACCATCCCCCCCCTCACCAGGCCACTTTGGAGTTGTCTACCACGGAGAATACATAGACAAGGACCAGAGTCGAATCCACTGTGCCATAAAGTCACTGAGTCGTAAGTGGGGAAGAGGCTTAGGAGGGTCCCCATCCCTGCAGTGCTACCACCTTGCTGAGTAGCCCTGAACAGGAGAACTTTCTTCTCCATTTCCCCATCTGACCCTAGCAAAGGGTCTCCCTGCCCTGAGCCTGACTCAAGCCACTCCACAGGCATTACAGAGGTGCAGGAGGTAGAGGCTTTCCTGCGCGAGGGGCTGCTCATGCGTGGTCTGCACCACCCAAACGTACTGGCTCTCATCGGTATTGTGCTGCCCCCTGAAGGGCTGCCCCAAGTGCTGCTACCCTATATGCACCATGGAGACCTGCTCCAGTTCATCCGCTCACCCCAGCGGGTCAGTGCTCAGGGGGTCAGGAGACCTGGGCAGCAGCTGGGGATGAGTTGCTATGCCCTTGCCTACTGACCCACCTGCGCCCCTAGAACCCCACGGTGAAGGACCTCATCAACTTCGGACTTCAGGTAGCCCGCGGCATGGAGTACCTGGCAGAGCAGAAGTTTGTGCACAGGGACCTGGCTGCTCGGAACTGCATGTGAGGGGCCAGAGCATTTGGGGTGAAGCAAGGGGGGCAGGGCACCAGGGTGTGCAGCTGTCTAAAGGCACCTCAGGGAAGGGCCCATGCTCTAGCCCTTGTTGTGCAGCCCTGGGCATGTCCTCCCCTCTCTGGGCCTCAGTTTCCCTGTTTGCCCAGTGCAGGCTTAGATTGGACGCAGTGGCTCTGAAACCCTGTGAAGGCCTGGAGTAAATGGGTTTGGGGTCTGGTGGGGGCCAGTCCTCAGTGTGATCCCCCACTCCTCTCAGGCTGGATGGGTCATTCACAGTCAAGGTGGCTGACTTTGGCCTGGCCCGCGGTGTCCTGGACAAGGAGTACTACAGTGTTCGACAGCACCGCCATGCCCGCCTCCCTGTCAAATGGATGGCACTGGAGAGCCTACAGACCTACAGATTCACCACCAAGTCTGATGTGGTGAGGCCCCACCTGCCCCAGAGTCCCCATGGCCTCAGTGTCCTGGGACGAGCACTTGGCCTTGCCCTTTCAGCTCCAGATGATGATGTGAGCCCAGGGAATTCCTAAGCTGCGCAGCTCCCACAGCCCATTTGCCCACCTTTTGAGCATGTCTAAGATAGAGCCCTCTTCATAACAAGAGGGGACTGTGAACTAATCAGCTCCTTGCAGACAATACAGGGCCTATAGGCCCAACTCTCAGCAAGGTCTGGTGGAGAGAGGAGACTGAGGGAGGATGCTTGTGAGATACTGAGGAGTGGGCTCTGATTGATTTCCAGCTGGAGGACTCGGAGATAGAGGACCTGAGGGTTCCACCTGCCTGCAAATTTGGGGTAAGAATTGAATTTCCTTTCTCCTTCCTACAGTGGTCATTTGGTGTGCTGCTATGGGAGCTGCTGACACGGGGCGCCCCACCATACCCCCACATTGACCCTTTTGACCTCACTCACTATTTGGCCCAGGGTCGACGCCTGCCCCAGCCTGAGTATTGTCCTGATTCTCTGTGAGTATGTGGAGGTGGTAGTGGGAGGGAGCTGGGCCTTAGATATAAGAAAGATAGGAGACAGAGCTCTTGCCTGGTTTTCTGACTGATCCCCTGGTTGACCTGGAAAGGGACCCTCTCTGGGCCTCAGTTTCCTCATCTGTGGTCTGGTTCCACAGCCATTTGGGGCTAAATGCTGGGAGAAGATCATGGTTGCCATGGTAACAGTACTCCCCACTCAGAGTCTGGGTTGAGGCCAGTGATTTGATTTCTCAGCACTCTCTCACCCCACCCCCGCTAAGGGGGGCCTGTTTTCCATCTTTTCCATTCACTTAACCTCAAAGAGAGGTTCCATTAGCTCCCACACTAGCCCCCACCCCCAACATCTCCCTACTGGATATAGTTTCAGATTCCCTGTTCCCAAGGCATGGTGACAACTATGACACAGTCACGGTGCCTGCCCAGTGGGCCTGTGCCGGGATTTAGCTTCAGAAGCAGTATGTGTGCCTCATCTGTGCCCAGATCTTTGTGGTTAAAACAGGAAGAACCAGGTCACAGGTAAAGGTAGTTGATGACTCCTGTCTCAGGCTGTGCTCTAGAAGGGTACGAGTAACCCTTCTTCCCAGCCCCTACCTGCCTTGGGTTTGATCTTTATTATTCATTTCACTAATGCCTCTGGTTTGAAATAAAAGAAATCATCTTTACTACACGTCTGACCCTGGGTCAGGTTCCCTGAAACAGAGTCTGACCTGTAGCTATATATATGGGGGGTTTATTGGTAGATTGGGGGCCAGAGAGGCAGGACTCGGCAGGGGGGAGAAGTTCAGCTGCCATGCAGATGCCACAGATGCTATAGCCCATCCCACAGGGGCTGCTTGATCTGGAGTGACTCTTCGGAGTTTTAAGAAATATATGTATATATATTTTTTTTTTTTCTATTTTTTAATTTTTTTTTTTTTTTTTTTTGAGAGAGAAAGTGATAGAGACAGAGTGTGAACAGGGGAGGCACAGAGAGAGAAGGAGACACAGAATCTGAAGCAGATTCCAGGCTCTGAGCTATCAGCACAGAGCCCAATGCAGGGTTGGAACCCACAAACTAGGAGATCGTGACCTGAGCTGAAGTCAGACACTTAACCCCCTGAGCCACTCAGGCGCCCCAGAGTTTTACCAAATTTAGATCAAGGGGCCAGGTCCTTGTAGTGGACATTAATAAGTCACTGGTCACAGTGTGGGTTTAGGGGAGGCAGCAACTTTCTGCCTGGGGCAATTCCTAGGGAGGGCTTTTAGCCAAGAGTCAGCAACAGCCACTAGAAGAATGAAGGGGGATTTGGGTAGACCACCACAGCAGACCAGACCAAGTCCCTTCTCAGTTTGAGGCCTCAATTTCCTCAACAGTAAAGTTGGGATGATACCAGTACCACTCTCAGATTCTTGAGAATTATGAGATTATTGTGTGTAGGGCACATTTAAGTCAGAGGCAGCATTTCCAAGATGAAGAGGTTTGTATTGGGGCCCACCAGGTAAACTCAGAAAAACAATGGCTGGGAATCCCATATGGCCATGTCTCAGAACTTCTAATCCCCATTTCATTGGACATGGGCTTCCTTCCTAGAAGATATTAGAGGATAACCGTGATAGCCTATGAGCTGCGCCCTAAGCTAACTAAGCACTTCACAGGCATCCTCCCACCCTATGCCACCACAGCTCTGTGATCAGAGGAGGATCCAGAGACACAGAGAGGCTAAGGATCTTGCCCAAGATCACATTGCTCAGGTCACTGGTCTCAGGAGTCCAAGCTCTTAACCCCTGGGGCAATCCAGCCTCTGCCAGGGTGGGGAGGCAGGACTGGAACAGTGATCACAATGCTGAGAAGAGCTGTCCCTGAGAAGAGCTGTCCCTGACTGGGCAATGCTCTGCACTAGGCCCTGTCACCTGTCCTCATCCCTATGCTGCCTGCCAGGGGATTAAGAGCAGGTGGGCAGCCCAGAATCTCTAGGTGGGGATGTGCCCTGCCTCTGACATCCCCCTCTCCCCACAGCTATGCAGTGATGCAGCACTGCTGGGCTGCAGACCCTGCAGGGAGACCCACCTTCTCAGTGCTGGTGGATGAAGTGGAGCACGTGGCGGCCAGGCTGCTTGGGGACCACTACGTGCAGCTACCTGCAGCCTACGTGAACCTGGGCCCTGGTACCTTGGATGAGGCGACCATGCCCCCAGAACAGTCGCAGACCCCACCTGTGCACAGGATCACACGTCGGCCTTTCTCAGAGCCACCACAGCCCACATGACCTCAGCCCTAGGCAGGCCCCAGGGATTGGACCTGCCTAGCAACCAGGAAGTTAATCCCAAACTGCCTCTAGGCCATGCCACGCCAGGGGCAGCCCAAGCTGCCCTCTGCCCTGTCCCTGCCCCCTTAACCTTCAGTGGTGACAGGAGGGAGCAAGGCACCTTGGCCCTTCACTCTAGAGAGGGAGCAGTGAGAATGATCCTTGATGTGAGGAGTATTTATGGCGTACCCGGTGTGTGCTTGACCTTCTGGGCACAGGGGACTCAACAGTGACCGTACAGACACTGGTCCTTGAACTAGTAAATGAACCAACGAATCATCAAGTACAAATTGTGGTCAATGCTGTGAAAGAAAGACAGGCTGCTTTGAGGGAAGAGAGGTCAGCTTTAGAGAGAGAAAAGAGGTGAAAAAAGCCTCTCCAGGAGGTGACATTTCTGCTATTACCCTGTCAGGTGGGAACTGTGCCAGAAGCAGAGGTGGGAGAAGAGAGTTTTGGGCAAAGTGAGCAGCACATGCAAAGACTCTGAGGCTGGAAAGGGATTGGGTCCAGAGAACAGGAAGGGTAGGGCAAAGCACTGATCCAGATTACAGGGCCCTGGCGACTTCTTGATGGAACCAAGAGGGTGGGTTGAGTTCCCAGGCTTGCAGTAGCCAGAATGGCTTCTTCCACTGCCCTGCCCATGCCTGTCCCTTTCTCCAGGCCCCAGACGCTCTCAGGGCTCCCTGCTCCACCTGCAGCTACCCCTCACACACACACGCGAGCGCACACACTGTCAGGGCCTAGAGACCAGCTCCCCTGCCTCAAAGCCTGCCAGCATTGCCCTGGCAGCCTTGAGAGAGATGAGCCAGCAGCAAGGCCTCAGCTCCATACTTTCAAGGCACCAGCTTCAAGATGCAAGACTGCCCAGGCTATTTATACTCATCAAGGCCACTGCACAATAGCCACTAGAGGGGCAGACTCCACTGGAGAGCAAGAACAATTTCCTTCTTGTACTACTACTCCCCCACACCCTTGATGCTGAGGGGGCAGCTTGGATGCCGGTGACCGGGCCCAGGGCATGCATCATGGTGGTTCTTCTCTCTTACCCAGGACCCCTATAGCCTCCATCCCACCAGTTGGGAGACCCCAGCTCACCCTAAGGGGAGCAAGCTTCAGCTCTTGTGAGTTCCCAACTCTTTGCCCTATCACACATGGAACTCTGGGTTTGGAGCAAGAGCTCCCTGGTAAATAGAGTGGGGGTTCTCTACCTTTACTGAGGCCTACTCTGTTACCTCAGGCCATAGGAGGCCCTGCCATGGAGAGACTAAGGACCCTGAAGACATGTGGGTAAAGCTTAAAAGAGAATCTTCTGCTCAAGCACAGGGTTCCAAAGATCAGGGGTCTATGATCCGGAGAGTTGGACTCTATCTGCCTGTTGACCACTGTCCCGCGGATCCCTACTCAGTCATAGAGGAGGTCTTATAGCCTTGCATGCTCAGCCAGAGACCCCTGGTCCCTGTGTGTGTGTGTGTGTGTGTGTGTGTGTTGTGGGGGGATCAGTTGTGTCACCCTGAGGCTACAGGAGAGATGAGTGGAATGTCCTACCTAGAGTACCCCTGACAGCCACAGTCCCCATACTAGTTGGAAAGCGCTGTCTTCACCCCTCCAGCCTGCAATCTTCCTGCTCTGACCTCATGCTGGGAATCTTAAGGTCACCCAGAGCCCCCTGCCCTGGGTGGGGAGTAAGGAGGGGGCCAGGGGCTGCTAGACTGAGGGTCCTTCCCCATTGAGTCCCTGAAGCTCATGGACCACTGTCTCATCTGCTCATGAGAGAGGGGCTTGGAGGGGAAGGGGGTCTCTCCTTGGGAGGGGAGCTTAGCAGGAGAGGGTTCTCAGAGAAGGGAGATGGAGGACAACTCAAGAGGTGTCAGCTTTCCTGTGCAACCAGAATGTGGGGCTTTCGACATATTTCTGAGCCAAGGGCCTCTGGGGCCAGGATTCTCCGGGGAAGGGGCCTACTTAAGCAGGTACTTGGGCTCCTGGGTCGTGGCACAGATGCACCCCCTCCCTCCCAGTGCTGCAGCCCCTGAGCTCTGAGCTCTGTTCTCAGAGCCACCCAAACAGTCACAAGCTCAGCTGGAGTGTCAGAAACTGGAACTGTTTCAGGGTTTCAGATTCCTGACTGGGGCACCAGGGAGAAGAAGAAGTTCTAGGCACCCAGATGGGCTGGGGGAACTAGAAGGTTTCTGAGTGGCTTCCAAGCCAGTGAAGTCTGAGCTCCTTTTCCCCTGCAGAGGCCTGAGCAGTATCTCAGGCATGGTGGGGGGGCTGGTGCAAGGGGAAGGTTGCTGGTGGCCATGGTGGGCCTAGACCTGCGACTAGGATGGGATGGGGTGAGCACAGGCTTCTGGGGTTTTGGGAGTCCAGTCTTTCCATCATGAGCTGCTGTGGAAAGAAGGTACCAGCTCCCCTGCCTCATCTCCCTCTATCACAGCCCAGCGGGGCTGGGGGCAACAGGTGCCAGTAAAGGCTGGAGGGAGGCTAGGATGAGAGCTGGGGCTGAGGAAGCTGCAGATGACTCACAGCCTCCTGACTGCCCATTGGTGTCACTGTTGTCTGGCACCTGGAGAGCACGCATGGGGTAGAACAACCTGCTTTGACAGGGGACAATGAGTCTGGTCTGAGATCCTCTTTATGCCTCAGTTCTTGCCTTTCAGAGAATTTTCTCAGGGGCCCAAAGGCCCTCTAGTGTCACGCCTGAGGGCTCCAGATATTGTCCCATTCCAAACTTTGGGATCTTCCTGGGACACTGGCCTCACCAATCACTCCCTCATAGCAGCCTGTGAGGCCACAGCTCCACCTACTTCACAAATTAACTCCCTTTACCTATAGGAGAGAGAAGGACCCCCCAGTGCCAGGGTGGGGTGGAGGAATGTGGGCACTGCTGGGAGTGTCTGAGGCTCCAGAGGCCCAGGTAGCATCTTACACTTACTGCCTCTGCCTGGGGAGAAGCAGTCCCAGGAATCAATAGCTGAGAATTGAGCCTTAACTACCAGGCCCTATGAAAAACACCTTTTACTCCATGCTGGGTTGGAAAACTCCCTTCTGTGAAGTCCCCAGGAACTGAGCATCTCTTCACTCAGAGCCTTTGCTCTGCCCATGTGAGGATCCTAGCCCAGAGGTGGAGCGCCGCCAGCCCCGACTCCGTGAAGAGCCCCCAGCGTTCCCCATCTGGCACAGAGGGGCCTGCTGAGCCTCCTTCTCTCCTGCTACTCCTTTGGGGTTTGCTCTAGCCAGAGTTTTTAATCCAATGAGTGTAGATGCCAGGAGAGCCTGGGCAGCTGTGACATTCACATCTGGCTGAGGTGGCCGCCTGGGTGGGCTGGGTTCTTCAGGTTTAAGGATGGTGACCTGGAGATGGCCCTCACACTTGGTCCTCCCCTGGTGGGAGTCCTTGGCCCAAAGCTAGATAGGTGGTGCCCAGCAGCTGGCAGAGTTTGCTTGACCCAGCTCAGAACATAGGTGTGGCACTTGGATCCCAGCCACCTCACACTGATAGCCTCAGACCCCCTGAGAAATGACCCTTTCTCTTGAACCCCCACCTCTCTCAATCAGTCCATCTCAGAACTTTCTGTTTTTAAGCCTCCCTGATAGCCTCTGCATTTTGTTCTCTATCCCCTCAGTGCCCTGAACATCTTCTGTCCCCGGTTCCAGGATATCCATTCTAGGTCTAGCAGGGATGGTAGTGCTGCCTGGAGAGGGAGGCAGCAGCATCACACTCTCTTCTTGTAGGATGAGGATCCCAGCACCTGCGTCTGTCCTACCACTGTGCTCATTCCTCTGCAACTTCTGCTTCTCCCTTTCTGGCAGCCCTGACCTTGTCAGGGAAGCAGAGGTACTTATGGCCCTGACAGCCTGGACAGAGGGCCCTGACAGGAAGCTCTTATATTTGGCCCTCACTAGTCCCTTTGTTGCTCAATGGAAGCTCAGAGGCAAGGCCCATGGTGGTTCCTATTTTGAACTCAGGTGGTGGCTGCTGAGGGAAGTTGCTCAGGAGACAGAACACCAGAGGCTCTCAATGCCAGGGGCATCCTTGCCTTCTCTCCTTTCTATTCCCTTTTATGTTGGTTTAGCCACCTGCACACTTGTGGAATGTCTTGGTCTGGGTGCTTGGGATCTGGGAACATATTCGGAAAGGCAAGGGAAGGGGCACCTGGGTGGCTCAGTCGGTTAAGCGTCTGACTTCAGCTCAGGTCATAATCTCATGGTGTGTGGATTCAAGCCCCGCATCAGGCTCTGTGCTGACAGCTAGCTCAGAGCCTGGAGCCTGTTTCAGATTCTCTGTCTCCCTCTCTCTCTGACACCTCTCCCCCCACCCCCACCTCCGGCTCATGCTGTCTCTCTCTCTCTCAGAAATAAATAAAAACATTAAAAANAAAAAAAAAAAAAAAAAAAAAAAAAAAAGGAAAGGCAGGAGACTCAAAGCAGCTGGTAGCCAGGAGCACAGGATTCGGTCTGCTTGGAAGCCAGTGCTCACTTTCTCATGTCACACGTCCCACCAATACAGCCTGGACTATGGAGACTTACAGGTCCCAAAGGAGTCAGCTTCACTCCTGGACTCTGTGGTAGTGCCAGCTCTAGCCAAGCATCGGTCCTGCTGACAGTTCCTCCAAGCTGGGGAGATCCCACTTCAAAGGGGGAAAGGAATCCTTCAGGCAGCCCCAGACACCCTTCCCACATGTCTCCTTGCCCATGGGCTCTGACCCAGCCATCTGTTCTTAAAGTTGCCCCCACCCTCCACTGGGTCTGGGTTCCCCAAGGACCCTGAGGGAGGGCAGATCTCACCTCCCCTCTGCAGATGTGGTTGGAAGTCTCTTCTCAATAGTCAGGAAGTTGTACGTGCTTCTGGCAGCACTTCCTCTGCCCCCACCTATGCTGGCTCCTGGCTGGGGGGTTGCTCCCAGGGATGGTGAGGAGCCTGCCCTGGCCCTGAGGTGGTCAGGGTGTCTCTGCCGTTGCCCTCCCTCCAGGCTGGTGCGGCTGGCCATCTTTCACGCAGAGTTACGTAAGCTTGAGTCAATTGGAGCTCAAGCAGTTCATTGTGGGCTATTTTAAGCTGTAACACATCACAGCAGAGGGGTCACTGCACTGAGGCTTGCAGGGAAGGTTGTTTAAACATCTGTTATTTAAATTTCCCTATGCCTTAGAGCTCAAAAGCCACTTCCTCCTTGCACTCTTGGATCTGCATTCCACATCCCAGATTAGGAGTAGATTTCACCCCTCCCCCCACCATTGGTTCCCCTAGGGCTGTTCTCTGCACTCTGGCTGTCTCCCTTTGGGGGCAGG